TGGAGAGAAGGCAGAACAAGGGCTCGAAGGAAATGAGAAGTCAAAACCCATATCCAAGGATTTCAAGGCCCATTTATAGCCTGGCAGGCGCCGAATCAATAACCAATCAGACGAAGACACGTCACCTGGATTATTTGAAAGGACGCGTGTCGCACAGGAGATCAAGGGCCAGTAATCATGACGATTATGGAAAAAATCAAACGACAACCGCAAGAAAGGTAATAATCATGACATGGGGAACCAGCGCATTCTGGATCTCGATCGCCATTCGGTGTGTAAAGTTCTACTTCCCACTGCACTCACTACCGTTCGAGACATCGGAAGTGGGGGACTCGTGTTGGGATATTGGGCCAAAGGCCCAATACCCGGATCCAAAGGCCCAATATATCAAGTCTGTTAAACGAGACCAGAATCCAGAAGATGAACAGGCTCATGGAGAAATATGTACAGAATGGGGTTCGGGTCAACCAATGTACTCGGGTCAGATCAATGATGATTCCAGCAGGGTCCACTACCCGTTCGGGTAGCGGGTAGCCAACAAGTGACAGGGAGCATTTATTGCTAAAGTATGGCGGTAGCAAGTGGGAGTATGGACTTAAAGTGGCCGGATTAGCAACCAATTAGCATGGAGCACCCCATACCCCCCATTAGTATAAATAGAAGGATTAGTTTCATTGTAAAGGGTTAGCTTCTTGAGACTCAAGGCCTAGAATAGATTTATCTCTCTTATTTCTTGTATTAGTCACTATTCCGACGTACCGTTCGGGAAGTTTACTGTGTAATCACCAAATTACTTAATACAAGTGGGCTTTTGAGTATTCAATTATTCATCTTTTATATTTCTTTATACACGTGATTCTTGACCCATTTTCCTGATATATGCAAAGTTCGTGTTGGGTTTTTGGATCTGCGGGACTAAACCTCAACAACCTTTTTATTCCAATATTACTAAAATGATTGAAAAAGCTAAAAATGTAACTTGTTTGAAATTTTTCCAAAAAGTGACTAAAATTCATTTATTTCTTCTATTTAATCATACATTGTACTATTTTAATAATATTCCTTTGCAGCCATCAGCACCTCTGTGGCCGCCGCCCCAGCACCGCCACCTTCACTGACACCGTCGTCGTCACCGCCGCCACCGCCGTTACCTGCACCGCCGCCGCCGACGCCGTGACTCTGGCATAGTGACTCCGACACAGTGACTCCATGACCATCGTCTTCAGCCGATGATTATCACCTGTAACAGTGACTACTCCGACCGGCCAATCCTCTGTTGGTGAGGGTGACCACCGCCTGCAACCCCTGCCCACCCATCACCACCACTACCCCTATGCCTCCCCATCCTCCAAACCTAAAAAATATGAACCGCCGGCCACCCACAATCGGAAACCCTAGATGCCCGCACAAGCAAATCGATCTAGGAGCTCTAGATCTAGATCTTCGTCTCCTGTATGAATTTAATGTCAATAGAAGAAAAGAAGATTAAAAGAAATCGATCTAGCGGTTGTTTGCGGAAGAGGATGGGGATCAAACCAGGCGGGGGAGGGAGAAAGTAGTATAGGCGTCGATGGTCAGTTGAGATATCTTCGTTCGTCGTCATATGAGAGCCATTGCCATTGGACGTCATCGCCACTCACCATCGTCGGAATTGTCACAGGACTTGAAGATACTGCACTGCTGCTTTGGGAAGGGCCATTTGCGTGATCATGACACGCAGATAGTGAGGCATGATGATAAATGGGCCTCTAGCAGACGAGAATATGAAGGGCCTGGGTAGAGTCAAGTCATAATTTTTGGGAAATAGAATAATGGTCATACTTTTGTCTTTACAAAGCCTAATAGTAATATGTGTGCCATTTTTTCGCAGAGGGGTGTTTACCTCAATATCACTAATAAGTGGATGAGTGACAAAGAAGTGACCTTTTATTCAAATTTCCAAAAATGTGACTGAAAGTACTAACAATACAACTACATCCGCTACAGTAACGATGCTACAGTGACGATTTTACAGTGATACAACCACGATGACAATTTTATAGTGACAACACCATAGTAACTCCATTCACGTTTTCTACCACGCGCCCACCGGCTACAGTGACACCGCCACTGTGACACGTCGACTTCGACCATAGTGACACACCGAATCCAGCCATAGTGACATACCGACTCCGCCCATAGTGACATGCCGACTCCGGCCATAGTGAGACGCCTCTCCCCATCCCTCCCTTGCTCTCAATCCCATCCACTAGCCATCACCGCTGACCGCCGCCGACCACCGCCACTGGCCATCTCCACCGACCACCGCCCTAACACCGGTTTAACTTCCCAGCCCCCAGTCACAGTACAACTACATCCGCTACAGTAACGATGCTACAGTGACGATTTTACAGTGATACAACCACGATGACAATTTTATAGTGACAACACCATAGTAACTCCATTCACGTTGTCTACCACGCGCCCACCGGCTACAGTGACACCGCCATTGTGACACGTCGACTTCGACCATAATGACACGCCGAATCCAGCCATAGTGACATACCGACTCCGCCCATAGTGACATGCCGACTCCGGCCACAGTGAGACGCCTCTCCCCATCCCTCCCTTGCTCTCAATCCCATCCACTAGCCATCACCGCTGACCGCCGCCGACCACCGCCACTGGCCATCTCCACCGACCACCGCCCTAACACCGGTTTAACTTCCCAGCCCCCAGTCATCTTCCCCCTCCCTAGCCCCAACCCCCTCTGATCCCCTAGCCACCTCCTCATCCCCCAAGCCCTTACCCAACCCCCATCTCCAACCCCTAGCTCCCCCACCCATCTCTGTGGGCCCTGTCTCATCTTCAGCTCCCCCATCCAATTCTCGACCCCCAGCTCCCCCATCCCTGCCATCACCGGAACTTGATGTCACCGGTCACCACCTCCCCTACCTAGCCCTCACCCACATTGTAACACCCCGGCCCCGTAGGCCCCGAGGTAGTTACTTCTGACCTCTAGTACTATCCTCACAAACCGTCACTAGCCTTTTCCGCGCACTTTGTCCTCACTCATGTGCGCCCTGAGAAACTTCCCAGGGGGTCACCCATTCCAAGACTACTCCCGTGCAAGCACGCTTAACTTTGTAGTTCTTGGCTAATGAGCTCCCTTAAAAGGAGATGCACCTTGTTGGTATGAGTAGTACTATTAATCCTCTTAAATTAATCTCGGGTATTACAATCACCCCCACTTAGGAACGCAACGTCCTCGTTGCGCCCATAAACCAATCTCAATCATATCCCAGAATCTTTTCCCCTGCTAAGTGCCAGCCCGATATCCAACGGATCATCACACTGTCGCAGGGTTGCTCTGATACCACATGTAACACCCCGACCCCGTAGGCCCCGAGGTAGTTACTTCTGACCTCTAGTACTATCCTCACAAACCGCCACTAGCCTTTTCCGCGCACTTTGTCCTCACTCATGTGCGCCCTGAGAAACTTCCCAGGGGGTCACCCATCCCAAGACTACTCCCGTGCAAGCACGCTTAACTTTGTAGTTCTTGGCTAATGAGCTCCCTTAAAAGGAGATGCACCTTGTTGGTATGAGTAGTACTATTAATCCTCTTAAATTAATCTCGGGTATTACACACATCCCCCATACACTGCCAAAACCTAGCCCTGCCGTTTTGGAATCCGTCAACCACCGTTGCGCCACCATCCCACTAGAACATAATAAGAAGAAATAGAAGTAGGGGGCATGGTGATGGCGATGACTGCGGCGTATAAGGAGGGTGGTAATCGGAGGCGACGGACTAGAGGTGGCGGTGATTCAGAGTGGCGATCTGGAGGTGGGACTGTCATCTTCGCCACATCTTTGTTGAAGGAAGTTGTTTGGGGAGATAATTGGCTTGAAAGAGAGAGGTTTGGGCGACGAGGATATCGATAAATCTGCTCACTTTGTTGTCCAGTCCTAAATTAGTCACATTTTCGTCTAATGAAACCCTAAAAGTAATATTTAAACCATCATTTCTATCAAATAGTGGCTCAATATATAAGAGATATGATCCAATTGATAAAGAGAGCAACGAATCTGGTTAAGAAATCCTTCCATATGCATGGAAATAGCTATGAACCTTGTTAAAAAAGCTATCTAGATACATTGCATAACTGTTGATTTTTCTAGCTATTGAAATGCAAACAAATAGAGCTCAAATCCCATTTTATTTGAGGCCCAAGGGGTATGGATGCATTTTTTAAGCCCTAAGACATATCTCATTCCCTGCACACCTATAAATAGAAGTCTCAGTTGAGAGGAATGGAAAAGTAAAGAAACGCTGCAGAAAAGCTTTAAAAATCCCGAGAGGCTCTGAATGATTCCAAAGAAGAGGAAGAGATTAAGTCCGAAATTTTATGAAGAATATACAAATAATCCTTTGTGATTTCGTTCATTCTTGACAAAATAAGTCCAAAAGTTGAAGAACATCCGATGATCTGAAGATATGAAGAATGAAGCTTGAAGATTCGAAGATCTGAAAAACAAGACTTTGAAGATTCGAAGACATGAAGAACGAACCTTTGAAGATTTGAAGATATTCATATGAAGATTGAATCAAAATTCAATTGAAGATCAAGCCATATATCTCGCGAATCCCTTAAACAGAAGATCAAACCATAAAATACCCCTTTTGTTGAAGATTAAGCTACTTTAAATCCGAAGACCCTTCAAGCTGAATTTTGCATTCAAGAAGATTTGAATATCCGAAGATTCGAACATTCAAAGATATCATGAACGAAGATTCAAAGATGTGAAAAACGTTCGAATATTGAGATGAAAATAACCTTTTATTTTATTCGAGATTTTACTTCCTTACAAATTATATTTACACCTCATGTTTTTTTTCACGATATTCTTTCTAAAATATCACGGAGTATTAATAAAAAGTCAAGAATGAAAAATGCGATTTAATAATTATTGATTGTATTTACATTTTTGTACATTACTTTTAGTTGATGGAGTAATATTAATGGAGTTTCCTTTTTTTATGTCATTAGAAATTTTTCATTGACAACTTTGCTCTCCTCCACTCTTCCCCGCTTCTCGCCAGCGAAAGCCATCAAAATACAGGTAGCCATTGCAAAAAAATACAGAGGGCTTGCAATCTAAATGCACGACCGGTGCAAAGCTGCTAGTTTCCATCTTCAGCAGCTGTCCGATAACGAACACTTCCAAAAGGGATAGCAGAATTGCAGTGGATCCGGCCAGATCCGCATGTCCGTGGATCCGAATATGGATTTGCTGCAGGAGTCTGGCTGGGAAGAGCTCCGCTCTGAGGCCCGCAAGATAGAAAGCGATATCGATGTCAAGCTCTCTTCTTACGCTAAGCTCGGCTCTCGCTTCACCCAAGGAGGTGATTCAATTCTCTCATTTCATCTGTCCTAGTTTTAACTGCTAACAGTAAATCATATCGAACACCACGAACCGATGGATTAATGAACCAAAGTTACACAGAGATCAGGATTTATGTGTATTAGAGTATGAAACCGTCTCATAAGTCATAATAAGCTTAAGCTATGCCTCACAAGTTGTTAATGCTAAAGTTGAAGGTTAAAAAGCTTCGAACAAGCAGTAATCTCCCATATTTCAATTCCATCCAAAGTCTCCTGTATTGATTATATAAACACTAGTCTGACTTGTATTTAGTGAAGAAAGGTATCTTTGTGTAAACGAGGAGGAGTGTTGAATCTAATAGATTAGCTCTGTGAATGTTGAAAGTGATTCAGGTTATGTTGATACTGGATCACCCACTCTTGGGTCCAGCCGATCATGGAAGTCCACTGAAATGGAAATCCAGTCATCACTTGAAAAGCTATTGGATATAAATGATGCAATGAGCAGATGTGCAACATCCGCTGCACCAACTACTTCAGTTACCCAGAAGTTGGCAAGGCACAGGGACATACTGCATGACTTCACCCAGGTTAGTTGCTCTCATTCTGTAATTAACAGCTCTGTTACTTAATAAGTTTCTACTACTTGTTCAAAGGAACATCGGGGGTTTGGATATTGCATTGCAGGAGGATATCTTTTGTTATCGTCACATGTCCTCATATGTGCTTTCTGATTTTTAGAAAAATAAATTTGTGTAGTGTTGTCATCTATAATATAGTCTTCTTTATGAGACAATGAACCTTTGCTAACTGTGGAAGCTTTTTATTATGAGCTCAGTTGCATTACTTTTCCTTGTTTGGTTTCTTTTAGATGGCTTGTGTTGTGTTTCCTTGAAGTGTTTCATCTAATGTAAAAAAATACAGAGTAGGAATTTTATGAGTTTATCTGCTCAAAAGTTATGGCCTAAGACAGGACTAAATAGTTAGAAATATGCTCTAGACGATATGAGGTTTAAAGTACAGTCAAATCATCAGTTAGCTGATCATATCAATATGGTGATGCTAAGATTTTTGTATAATTTGTACAATACTCTAGCTCATTTCCAGACCTGGTCTCTGCTTTCTTTACACATGTCCAAATGCTAACCATTGTTATGCAGCTTTTGATGGTCTACCTGCTTCTAACTTTTGTGAATGCTGGTTCGAATTGCATTGATTATTATAATGAAACAAGGATCTGTATTCTGTAAGCTTGCCCCCAACTAAATATATAGAGTTAGCAAACCCTTTTCAGGTTTTGTATACGGTCCCCTGGCTGCAACTCTGCAATTTTGGCTGGCATAAAATACATATTAGAAAGCCTATTCTAATGAAAATAGTTTCTTCCATCCTGCAACCTATTCACTCGTTTGCTGAATTTAATACAGCATCACAAATTATCTGTTAATGGAGAGACAAAATGACCTTGCATGACTTTAAGACGCTAACATGGTACTCACATCGTGATATCAGTTGTTCATACTGGAATGAATTGCTTCATAAAGTAGTGCACCCTTCGTGGGCTTAGAGTACAACTTAATGGACAAAGCACATCTAACCTATAGCTCCAAATAGTAGTTTTTTGCCAGCCTAATTTCTGATTGTTAAGATCTGTCTCATTGTGTAGCTCATTAGTATTCCAGTTTCTAGGCGTAGTGTTTCTTTTGATGCTCTAGTTTATGGGAGAGTTTTTTGGAGATGAACTATAGTTTGGATTTTTAGAGTTTTATCTCATATTCCCATATCAGCATTGGATCATACATTCTTTTGAGCTGTGGTGCTGATTAATTTACTGTATACTTCCTGAGGTACAGTTCATTCATGTTGCACTGCTTTTTCAAAGTCCAATAGTCCATGCTCTTAGTTCATGCAATAAGTCATTGACATTTCTGGTTTTCCTTTCTCATGTACTGACTTCATGCTTACATATTCAGGAATTTAGGCGTATTAAAGGGAATATACACTCAATGAGGGAGCATGCAGAACTTCTTAGTTCTGTAAGGGATGATATTTCTGAGTTCAAGGCGAGTTATCTCAAGTTTAAAATTCCATATATATTGGATGCATGCATCTTTATAATTTGATAATGATTTAGTTTATGTTCGAGCAGGCAGGAACCATGTCTCCAAGAAATCAGTTATTACGTGAGAGGGCTGCCATACATGGAAGTATTGCTCATGTAACATGACTACCTTTCTGATAATCCACTCATATCTCTGCTACAAATTCATTTTTATATTACCGAATACTGATTTCCTATTTGACATTTGAGTACAGAATGTTGTGGTGGGATCTGGGATCTTGGCTGCCACCCCGCCCTTCTTAGTTTCTTAGATACCATTGGGTAGGATATAGTTTTGGCTTATCAGCCGCATGGCCGGCACAAGGGCCACCACCCAAACTAGAGCTTTGGCCTCGATAATTTTTTTATGGAGGGGAAAAAGCCTTCAACTTCCAAAAAAACTATTTGTACACGCCCAGATCCATACACACCGTCCGTCTGTGAGGGTATTTTTTGTATGTGAATACACTGTTCATACACAAAATATGTTTTGTCTGAACAGTGTGAATTGTATTCACAGAGAAAAAATACCCTCAGATACATAAGAGTTTTGCTTCAACTTTAGCAATTTTAGTAGACTCAGCCAACTGCCCAACTCTGCCAATTGGAATTTTGTAGTACTGTCTCTATGTAGCGAATATATAGTATTGCTTGTGAGGTTGAAATGTTTCAATCGGCTATTTTTTTTTGGAAAAACATTTTGTAGAATGTGTTTAAGCATACAAGTATGTCAATGCCTGCTTATTACAAATGAGCCGGTTAATGCTGCATGATAGGGCGATAATTTTTTTGGTCAAGCTGCAATCATATATTTGAACAGCATGGGGTGTGTGTGTTGTGCAGATTGATGATGTGATTAATCAAGCTCAAACAACAAGGGCTACATTGGGCTCCCAGAGAACATTGTTCGGTGCCGTTCAGGGAAAGGTGAAGCAACTTGGTGACGCGTTTCCGCAAATTCGTTGGCTAATAGGTATCCTTTGTAATTTATTTCTTTTTAAGATGGCTGTTTTATTAGTCTTTCTTCGGCCTGGAATTCTGAAACTTGCGTGACTGTGTGTGTAGCCTCTATCAGGAGGAAGAAATCAAGAGACACTCTCATTCTGTCAGCAGTTATTGCAGCGTGCACGCTGTTTCTAATAATCTATTGGCTCTCGAAATAGTTAGAAATGGCATTTGTTAAATTACACAAATCAAAACCACAATAGCTTATTTGGGAGAATTTTGCATTTGTAATCTACCTAGAAAACTGTTGCTTCATCCTTCTGAGGCCTTTATTTTAAATTGCTGCTTCAGTCCCATTTTCATATTACCAGTGCACGAGGAGCAGCCATAGATCACATATTTAGTACTCCGTATCACACTATCGCGTGGTATCAATAGAGCAAGATACTCCCGTACTCCACCGTATTATATAATACGGAGTACAAAATGAATACATACATAAAGCAAAATTGCAAATATTGTCATTTAGAGATGGACCGGGTCCGGTCCTGGGCCTGGCCTGGCCGGGCTTTTGGTTTTGGGAAGGGAGCCCGGGACCGGCCCGGATCACCGGCGGTACCGGTTCGGGCCGGGCTACCCGCCCAGGTAGCGGGCCGGGCTAGGTCGGGTCAGGTCTTTTTTTTAAGTTTAACAAAAAAATTGAATGTATATTATTTGATATATGAACTACAAGTCTACATTTGATTGCTTTTTGGGCGTAGGATACGACCACCCGGAATCCCGGTATTTAGACCTTGTCCCATTCTATTTTATTTTGTTTTGCCCGTTTCCTAGGCTAAAAAAATTGGCCAGTTGATAATGGGACATGGGTGGTCGTAGGCTCGAAATCGGCATTCCGGATGCGTCTGGTCCCGAGCAGTGCTAGATGCAGTTCTGGACAAGGCCAGACCGCCGGTATGGACCCATGAATTTAGGTTGGGCTAGGCTAATGGGTGACCGTACTACTTAAAAGTTAAAACAATATGTTAGAGCCCGGGACCGGCCCGGATCACCTAGTGCTACATACAAAAAATTGAATGTATATTATTTGATATATGAACTACAAGTCTACAATTGAGAATTAGGTAAAAAATCAAAACATGAAGTGTAAAGTGATAAAGAATAATCAAATAATCAATCGGAATCTCTGCCAACGTCGGTTGTTGTTTCCTTCATAAAGTGTTGGGTGGGGGTGGTGTTAAGTTCTTGAGTTCTACGTTGGGCCTTCAACTAATCATGGTAGCAAACAAGTCTTTCAAGAGAGTTTGTGCTCAATCTCGTTCTATAATCTGTTGGAACGCTGCCAGCCGCACTGAATTCTTGTTCCACGGCAACTGTTGAAACCGGCATTGATAGCACTTGCTTAGCCATCTTTGATAAAATCGGGAACATTCTTTCTTTATCCTTCCACCACTTTAGAACGTCAAAGTCATCATTTTCTTCAAAATACACAGGAAATGTTAGATGCAAAGAAAGCTCGTTAACTGAGCTTTGTTCAACAATGGGAGTTGATTTACTTTTTTGCATAAGATTGCCAAATGTTGATTTAAAAAATGAGCCTCCTTTTGATGAAGATGTTCGTGTCGGGGGAGGGGATGCGTTACCATATTGTGCATGAAACTCATTAAATAATTGAAATAATAAATTACTAACCTCTTGGTATTCTTGTTTAGGGTCTATGGCCTTATAAGTTATAATCGTACATAGGAAGTGGACCAAAAAATGAAGCATAACAGTAATATAAACATTGTTGCAATGCATTAAGTTTATAACGAGGATAAAGAATAAATGCAGTACTATAAATATGTGGAATATGTGAATAATATTTTAAAAACATTTCTTTCATGTACTCACAAAAATAACTCACGTAAGCCGTAAGGGACTTCGGAAAATTCACAAAAAGCACCGGTGAGATTAACAGCTTCACGAAGATCAGACCGTTAGGCCCGGGTCCGGGCCCGACCCGACCGGGCCGGGTCACCAAAATCCAGTCCCGGAACTGTCCCGCCCACCCCCCGGTCCAGGCGTATGCCCGGAACCGGTTCCCGAGCACCGGTCCGGTCCAGGCCCGCACAGTAGCGGGCCGGTTCACGGGCCGGTCGGCTTGGTACCAGTCCAAGCCTATTGTCATTTACAAAATTAAAGTGCCATTGAAAAAAATTGCTAATTCATAAATAACAAATATTGTCAATTAAAAATACTACATAGTAAATTCTACGTTGTAGTACTTCAGTAGAGTAGTTGACAAGTAGTAAATAAATAAAAAATTTCAGCAACTTCAGAAATTTTTGTTCAAAAAGAATGTAACATAAATAATGACATCTCATCCTTGAGGTCTCTCAGAATCGATTGGACAATTATCTGTGAGTAGGAGTGAACTCAGTCCTGGACCGGCTAGTCTTGATTTCTATCCCTGATCGGTCAATGGTGGTCATTGGTAGGAGAAGTTAGGGTCCTTCTCAATTAAATTTGGGTTTGGATTGAATCCTGAATCCCGATATCTAGACCTTGTCCCATTCTATTTTATTTTGTTTTTGCCCATTTCCTATGCTAAAAAAATTGGCCAGTTCGAGGTCAGAATTGGGACTGGAAGAACCCAATTCAGTCCCCAAATAGGACTAGGTGTCTCTTTTGGGCGTAGGATACGACCACCCGGAATCCCGGTATTTAGACCTTGTCCCATTCTATTTTATTTTGTTTTGCCCGTTTCCTAGGCTAAAAAAATTGGCCAGTTGATAATGGGACATGGGTGGTCGTAGGCTCGAAATCGGCATTCCGGATGCGTCTGGTTCCGAGCAGTGCCAGATGCAGTTCTGGACAAGGCCAGACCGCCGGTATGGACCCATGAATTTAGGTTGGGCTAGGCTAATGGGTGACTGTACTACTTAAAAGTTAAAACAATATGTTGGAGCTAAATAGGAAAAATGAATAGATTAAACTAAAAATTTAGTTTGCACTGAGCTTCAATTCATCATAATCTTTACATAGACCCGACCTTAGAAAATGGTACAATTGATACTTAAATGAGAAAAATGGAAATATCAATCAAAAAATGATTTAATTAAAAGGGGAATGTGATTTAGGGATGGATATTTTTTTTCTGTTGGTAAAAGGGATGGATAATATAAGAATGGATAAAATTTATATTGAACATGAGAATATTCTTATTCATATTTCCGTTTCGGCTTCATGTAATGTATTTTTTTTACTCCAGGGGGCGTCTGAGGGAGGGGGGCTGGGGGGCCTGGAGTACTCAGGGCTGAAACTCACTCTATTGAGTTTCAAACCCTTATGTGCCTAGCGGGTTTCGAACTCGAGACCTCTCACTAGGCACGGTTTCAAGTAATGTAAATAACAAAAATATCAAATCAACGTTTCCTTGTCTAGTTTTGGCTCAATATATATTTTATTTAGGGAAAATTCCCGAAATAAGACTAAAACAGTTTGAAAATTTCAAAATAGGACTGTCATGTTTTTTATTCCCAAAATAGGACTAATTACTGTCATGTTTTGGCAGTACCAGACTTGAAACATTGCAATATTTTCTAACATGACAGTAATTACTCCTATTTTGGGAATAAAAAAACATGTCAGTCCTATTTTGAAATTTTCAAATCTTTTTAGTCTTATTTCGGGTAATATTCTCTATATTTTATTAAACTATTTAAGGTTGTGACAATCTATGACCTTTCATACATTTAATGTATCTTCATACGACTTTGCTTGGTGTACACCTTTTGTGTACATCTTTTGTGGACAGACAACTCGTCTGCTGGGGACAGACGGGTGTACACAAAAGGTGTACATCACGCATTTTTCATCTTCTTTCACCACCTTTTTACGTTTATGCTATACGTTTTTCTTGAAATTTAAAATCAATATATATATATATATAACAATTATTTACTTATTTAAGAGCATACAAAGCTCCACATAATCCTGCCATGTCATTATATATAACAATTATTTACTTATTTTTATACCTTTTGTTTTTATTAGATTCTATTTTTGATTGCATATTGATATGGAAACAAAACTCCTTATAAATCCACCTTAATTAATTTGGTAAGCTTCAAATAAGTAAAATAATTTTTGGTTATCAAAGTGAAATTCTAATAACGTTTATTGATATGGAAACTAATTTATATTAGTTTACTACACCGAATTAAATAGAAAGAAATATGCAAATTAGTTTACTTATTAATTTGACACCTATTAATAAATTAGTAAGCTTCAAATAAGTGAATAATTAAAAATGAAATTAAAAATTATAACCAACATAAAGTATATATTTTTTTACAAGTAAATATGTTTAGCTTAGCCAAATAAGTAATTTTTTTTTGTTGTTTCTTTATTTTACACCTAAAATTCAAATATACCTTCACTTTTGAAATAGATTCCTAATCCAAATTAGAAAATCTTTATAGGTTTACGAATTCCTACTTTTATTTTAGTAGAATGTTTTTAATTGGATTGATTTCAGTTCCAGATAAAATCAGATCAGATCAAACTTTAATAATTATAACAGTAAGTCACATAAAAAACAGACATCTAATAGATCATATTAATTCATATTAAATGAAACCCGAAATTTTAATTCAATTAAAAACGTTCTTATTAATGAGTAAAGTGTAAGATCTAACAATTAAGAAATATAGAACTTTTTTATTATTGGGTTCATAACAATTATGTTTACTTGAGATGCTTATGTAGAAGACCAATTTAACTTTTTTTTTCATATTTTTTTTTTCTTTGTTTGACAAATGGAATATATTTCACATATATTTTTCATGATTCAGAAGATTCCACGTATTTAACCAGAATTCAATCAATTTCAGCAAAATAAGTTAATTCTATTTACTTTAGTATTATCAAACAAACTCTATATTAGACTAAGTTTATTTTTCTTTTAAATCACATTATATGTGATCCGATAGAAATTAAATTTCAAATTAGCTAAATTACATATTGTCCGTGCATCGCACGGACTTGAAAGCTAGTATTCCGTATATTTTAAGAAGCAACAATGAGTAGTAGCATATGAGAGAAACTATATGCATCTTTTAGATTAATTGATCGCAACAACATGATATATTAATTAAATAAAACTATTTTTTTTAGAAAGAGACTTAAAATGATGTCACAGTAATAACAGAACTTAAGCAAGATACAAAATAACAAGAAGCCTCCTGTCTACTCCTCGAACCAGACTTAGAATCTATCACCTCCTTAGAAACAATAAGATTCACTGGTTCTATAATAGGCATAACTAAGCCAATGATGGGCAAACCAGACTTCTCATCACCTGTCTGAAGTTCAAAAGTTTTTATGTCA